AACGAACAAAATCTTATCTCTGCTGAACTGGTGAACGAGCTAATTTAAGCAGTAAATTTAAGACAAATTCTCTGCTTTGTAAATCCTCTCAGGTGAATTTAGATCACTCGTGAAAACGAGTTTAGAACTTGGAAACTTCATGCAACTCCGTCAACTCTCATAAAATAGAAACTGTATGTTTGTGTGTATGTGTGTTTTAGCGTAGTTTTGATGTATTCTAGAGTAGCCAATAAAATTCATGTTTCATTTATAAAGAATCATTGTTGGTGTCATATAATTTCAAGGTTAAAACTGTTGCCAAAAGATCCTTGCTTGCTACCTAGCTCGTAGCTTACTTATAATAATTGCTATAATAGCTTACTTATAATAATTGTATTGACCGTGGCCGGGAAAATACAATATTAAATTTGTTAAAATATACTGAGGTCACGGCTCGCTGGACGACCCTTGATTTAAAGTGTAAAATAACAAATTTGAAATCAGTTCGAATCAGGTTGACTCTGAATCTTCAGATCCGAGTCCTCTCAAAACCTGAATAAATAATAATAATTAATTCCCTTATACAATTAATGAGTTAATTTCATTACAGTCCTTTTCCATATGGGCCAGATCTCTGCCACACCTGATGATGATGATGATGATGAAGCTCTGTTCAGTTCTCTGAATTACCTGAAGGGCTCTGGCCTGCACTGTCTTTTTTAACATCTGAACATCTTCTATAAAGGGACCATCAGTCTCCATTTCTACAGGACTGTTTAGTCCAGACGGATCAACACACAAAACGTACTAGTGGAAAAGAAAATAACAGAAACACAGACAGAAACATGAGCGTTACAGAGAGTCATCAGCAGCGACGGAAGAAACAGAGCGAAGCAGACGGACGTCAGCAGAAACGTCTCTTCAGAGCGTGAATCAGGTCATGTGAATGACAGGAAGTGGAGATTCGGTTCGAGAGAAACTCACCTGCGGGTTTGACTTGGCCAGATTCTCGATCTTCATCCAGGCCTCCTCTCTCTCCTTCAGCTTGGCCTTCTCTCTGGAAGCAGAAGCGTCAGTGTTATCGTCTCACGTGAAACGACGGCTGTGTCTGTGTCTCAACTCACTTGTTCTTCTCGGCTCTGAACTGTTGTGTGCAGTCGTCAAACAGCTTCTGGTTCATCTCCATGAAGAGCTTCAGTGCGTTATAGATCAAGCCGTGAATGGTCCTGCAGTCATTTCACAAACACGCAGAAGAGAGATGAAGAGTCATGCATTCAGACCGAACAAAACATCGTTTAGTATGTTTATGCTAGCGAGTAAAGCGTGACGCGGGATCCAAACGGCATCAAACACGAGTCTTACTTGTTCCAGTGGCTCTTGGAGTTGCGGTAAAGCGCGGGGAACATGATGGGTAAGATCTTGGCTGCGTTGTCACTGATGAGACTCATGATGTACTCGTTATTCCAGTAATAAAGCGCTCTCTCCGCCACCTGTCAGAAGCACACGTCACGTCAAATCTAATGTATTTGTATAGCGCTCGTCACAACACTAACAAATAGTAGTCCGTTACTGATTCCTAATGACACGCTAGAAATTGTAGTTAGTAACGAAATCCATTACATTACACATTTCAGGTGATAAAATCAGACTACTTTTAGATTACTTTTGACCTAATTTGTGTATCACATTAATTTAAATAAGATAATCTTGTACCTAGGGCCCTACGATTTCCGCGATGCGGACGAAATCACGGAATCCAATCATAAAAACGGAATTTACTGTATCACGCGGAATTTGCCTAATTTGGATGAATACATCAAAAGTAGGTCAGTAGTATGTGGAAAATAATGTGTTTTTTTAACTTTAAACCGCATAAACACATTTCATTACACCAAATACACAAAATAATGTTCTTTTTAGCAGCATCATATGACCCCTTTAATCAAAACACAATATGGACTAGTGTCTGTGAATATTAAGCCGCATTTAAATATGAATCCTGTGTGTTCTGCGTGTCTCTGGAGGTTTTGTTTACTTCACTTTACTGCCGCCTCAATATATGAACACATGAACATGATCTCTAGAACTGCTCTGAGAGTCGCTTCATGAGCATTTCACCGTTTCTTTTGAGTAAAACTATCGTTATATCATAAACAAACAGAAACCTAAAGGTCTTCACAGCAACCCGTCAAAATAAAAGTTCGGTTTAACTTCAAGAAACCGTGACAGAAATATTACTTAATGTAATAGTACTACTACTGCCATTTCTGGATTTTATTTTATTTTATTTTTTTAATAAAATCTATTAATTAGAGATGGTTTTGATTATTAATGTTTAATGAAACCATTAAAATTAAATCCAGAAAATTAATGGAAAACAGAATTTGGTAAGAAATAAAACCTAAAACACCATTTCATAGGGCCTTAAAAATTTAATTTATGTTGAACTTTTAATAAAGTGCTGTTTAATATTGTAAGTTTTATGATTTCAATTAATTAGACATGCTTTTTGATGAATAAAATTTAATTTAACCATTAAAACAGAGTCTAGAACAACTAAAATGGAAAAAAATAGAATCCAGAAAAATGTAAACTGAAAAAATGGAACGGAACTTGGGAAAAAAATCTGATGGATTCCATAGGGCCCTATGTATTGATATAAAAATACATAGAGAGAAAGAGATTACATTCCAAAAAATGTACCTGCATGTCATGTGAACATGTGAATAATGTGCAATCCAGTGTTGGATACTTTTTAAAGTAATGCATTACAGTATTGTGTTACTTAGTTACTTTTTTGGAAAGTAATGGATTACGTTACTTTAGCGTTACTTTTTGTCACCTGAGCTGGGCTTGCTCATTTGTTTTTTAATAACAAAAAACCCAAAAGTTATATTTTTTGGCAACTGTAAAGGTCCTTTCACACCAAAAGTGAAATGAATAATCCTCAGGCTGAAGGAAGAACCTCTGCACTTACTCCCGATTTCTCTCAACATGGGAACAGGAGAGCTGTCAGTCAATAAATGAGAAAACAAAGTAACTTAAAAAATTAACTCAGATATATTATTGACAATTTGAAAGCGTCACGATCTCTAGCTCCAGAGTCTTGCCACTTTACCCCGGACTCCATTTCCCATAATCCTTTGCCCGGACTCATCAGCACTCACCAATTGCAGTCACCTGTCTCTCATCACCTCATCAGTCACACACTATAAGAATGACACACACACACACACACTCTTGCACCGCTGATGTTTGATAGCCTGTAATGTTTCCTAATTTCCTTGTTTTCCAAGTTTCCTAGCCTTCGTGTTTTTGATCTTGGACTGTTTTCTTGTTTCTGATTGTTTGCTGCCTGCCCTGACCATTGCCTGTTTATTGGATTACACTTTTGGATTTGTCTTGGATATTACTGTTTTGCTGGTGTTTGACCCTGACTACGATCTTCATAACCTCCACTTCGTTGTCACGACGCCTTCTACATTACAAAAAGTAAGGTGTTACTTTACTAGTTACTTGGAAAAGTAATCTGATTACATGACTCATGTTGCTTGTAATGCGTTGCCCCCAACACTGTAATGTAATCATGCAATCAACAAAAAGTAACTGTAGTCGAATTACGAGTATTTTAAAATGTAATTTAATTTTATAATTAATTGCATGTACTTAATTTTTGGAATCTGATTATGCAATCCAGATGACATGTAATCGGTTTCCGGCAGCTTTACAGTCTGTAATGCTTGTGGCGTGGGCATCGAGTGAATTTAACTTTTAACGTTTGGCTTATCAGTAGACATTATACAGCTTTGTATATTTACAAAAATTAACCATGGTTTTATTATAGTAAAATTGTAGTAACCATGATTTTTTGGGGGTATTGCCTACCATTTGTATAACCACAGTTATAAACTGGATTTTATAAAAGCAATAAGCCCCGTGAAGCCGTGGTTTACAGTGAACTTATAACAGCTAAGGGGGTTTTAGACTCCACTTCACATCCCTTAGCTGTTGTAAATTCACTGTAAACCACAGCTTCTTGGGGCTTATTGCTTTATTTTACTACAAATACCATGGTTAAACTATGGTTAGTGTTGCAAGACCATGGTTAATTTGTGGTTACCATGGTTTAACTATAGAAACCATGTTTTTGTTTTTTTTTGTAGTAAAACCATGGTTTATATTACTAAAATCTCAGCTTCCTTTCCCCAACAATATAAGAATTTTCAGTTTAATTCACACATTTCTTGATAGTTTATAACATTCTATTTTTATAAAGTGTATGTTGGTTCCTTTCGTTGTTTCACTGTTGGATGAGGAACATTTCAGTACTTTGCATCACACGTATGTAATATGAAGGAGACAAAGAATGAACCTCGAACCAATCTAAAACAGACAAACATCGGTCTTCTCTGCTTCACTCACCTGGAAGTGCGGACTGGACACACACTTGGCCAGCTGACGGAAGAGCGGCTCCATGACCTTCACGAACTCGGACGGCTCGATCACGTCCAGGATCTCCTCCAGCTCGTTGAGGAACATCACCTCCTTCGGACTGTGAGTCTTGGGCCAGTACTTGAGAAGAGCCACGACCACCTGCACACCGCCAGCAAAGCCTCATGGGTCGCATCAATCCCATAATGCATTAAATGCTGTCTGAGAGTCTGACGTCTTACCGGTTCAGTGAGCGTGCTGTCCTTCTCCAAGAACTGAACCACACAATACGCCAGCTGGAGCGAGACGAGACGCGGTTAGTGACGCTCGTCAGTGTGAGTTAACGATGTTTAATGAGCTTAGCGTGTGACTGACCTGCGGGTGATAGACGCTCAGAGACTTCACTTTATGCAGCGGCAGCAAAACCTTCAGCAGGAAGATCTTGTGCTCCTCTTTTAATGGCAAAGCAAAGCCGTTGATGATGCTGTCGGACAGAAGAAACACCGCTGTCAGAAATCAGAAGATTTCCCAGCATGCACAGGGAGAGAGCGCATGTTTTACCTGCCCAGGATCTCCAGGAACTCCGCGATTCCGTTGTGATGCTCCGTCTCGTAAATAAACCTGCAAACACACACAAAACACAAACTGACATTTACACCTGTGACCCTGGAGCACAAAAGCAGTCATAAGCAGCACAGGTATATTTGTAGCAATAGCCAACAATACATTGTATGGGTCAAAATTATACATTTTTCTTTTATGCCAAAAATCATTAGGATATTAAGTAAAGATCATGTTCCATGAAGATATTTTGTAAATCTCCTACCGTAAATATATCAAAACTTAATTTTTGATTAGTAATATGCATTGCTAAGAACTTCATTTGAACAACTTTAAAGATGATTTTCTCAATATTTAGATTTTTTTTGCACCCTCAGATTCCAGATTTTCAAATATTGTTCTATCCTAACAAACCATACATCAATGGAAAGCTTATTTATTCAGCTTTCAGATGATGCATAAATCTCAATTTCGAAAAATTGACCCTTATGACTGGTTTTGTGCTCCAGGGTCACATATAAACCTCCTAAATTCCTAAACACTGAAACCTGTTTCCAGCTAAGACTGAATTATCACACCATTAACACTCAGAAACGTATGAAGGCACTGCTCACCTGTAAAATATGTTATTAATTTGCTTTCTAATGTAAGCGCGCAGCCCGAGAAACTTTCCATATATTCGGTGCAGGGTGGTTTTCAGGAAATCTCTCTCTCGTGGATCTTCACTGTCAAACAACTCCAGAAGCTGAAATTCAGTTCAGAAACAGCGCTTCACACGTCTGAACTAATACTGAAACTTCAGCTTATATATAGTGAAATAAAATATCTGCATACCTGCATCACAAATTTCTGGTCAATGTATTTCTTGGCAATATTCGGCTGAAAGTCGGGCGACTCGAGAAACCGCAGGAAAAACTCGTACACCAGCTTTGAGAAACAGAAAGATGCTGTGATGAGCAACAGGTCAAACTCTGGTGACGTTATTTATTCAGATGTGCAGCGCTGTAATAATCACTCATGTTATCATGATCGCTGCTGTCGTCACACACTGCACGCATGTACAGACTCCCCAGAAAACATTGTTTCTATTTATGTGGCACAGTAAGACATTGCATAAACATAACATAACATTATGATTGAATATACCATCGGCCAAATAAGTGTTTTTTTTTTTTTTTAAAGAAATCTCTCAACCTCACCAAAGCTGCATTTATTTGATCAAAAATACAGTAAAAAACATGAAATATTATTTTAATGTAAAACAGCTGTTTTCTATGTGAATATCTGTTAAGCTGTAATTTATTTCTGTGATGCGCAGCTGTATTTTCAGCATCATTACTCCAGTCTTCAGTGTCACATGATCTTCAGAAATCATAATAATATGCTGATTTGCTGCTCAAGACACATTTCTGATTATTATCAATGTTGAACACAGTTGTGCTGCACAATATTTTTGTGGAAACTGATGCATTTTATTTTTCTGTATTCACAGATGAATAGAAAGTAAAAAAAACAGCATTTATTTGAAATAGAAATCTTTACTGTCACTTTTGATCAATTTAATGGATCCTTGATGAATAAAAGTAATACATTTTTTTATAAGTTATATTTACCCCTAACTTTTGAAAGGTAGTTTTACGGTTTCCACAAAAATATTGTGCAGCACGACTGTTTTCAACATTGATAATAATCAGAAATGTTTGTTGAGCAGCAAATCAGCATATTATACTGATTTCTGAAGATCATGTGACACTGAAGACTGGAGTAATGATGCTGAAAATACAGCTGCGCATCACAGAAATACATTACAGTTTAACAGATCCACAGAGAAAACAGCTGTTTCACATTGTAATATTTCACTGTTTTTACTGTATTTTTGATCAAATAAATGCAGGCTCTGTGAGCATAACAGCTAAAACGTTAAGTCTTAATAATTCCAGAGTGTTGTCCGGCAGTGTGACGTCTCATGGCTGTGGTTATGTAGTGATCCGTGGACTGAAGCGGTCAGATACGCTGTGAATGATGTACAGTACACCTGCAGATGAGGCCAGGCTGCTTCCAGAGTGGGTTCATCCTCCTCCGGGTCGAACTCTGCTCCCGTCGGGTTCGATGAAGGCGGCAGAGCCCTGAACAGGTTCACAGCAAACTGCAACACAAACACGGGCCATCATGTTCCTGACACTCGCACACTGAACCAGCAGCACCGTCTACAGGTTTCTGTCACACTCATGAGCGCTCTGTGACACAGACCATCTCACACGGACTAAAGCAGGTTTCCCAAACCTCATCAGAGTCACCAGAGACCATCGCTGAGCCTTCGCTTGATCACGAGCAAACACAGAGAAATGCTATAGATGCACTATGGCATTCTGGCCTTTAAAACACTGGATTACAAGTTAAATTAGTTTTGTTTTCCATCAGTGAAGGTTAATGCTTTGCTGCATGGATGAATCTGATCGTTTTACTGTTTCAAAGAAGTTCAAGCCTGATGAACCTGACAGCACTGCACTGCAAAAACTGATTCTCTTACTTAGTATTTCTGTCTTGTTTTCTAGGATAAATATCTAAACATTCTTGAATCAAGATGCATTTATACTTGACAAGTAAAATGACTTAAGATATTAAGAAAAAAAAATCAAAATTGTTAGTTTTTGCTTAAAACAAGCAAAAATATCTGCCAATGGGGCAAGAAAAATAATCTTTAGCCTTTGAAAAAGGCAGATATTTTTGCTTGTTTTAAGCAAAAACAAACAAAATTTTGATTTTTTTTCTTAATATCTTAAGTCATTTTACTTGTCAAGTATAAATGCATCTTGATTCAATGTTCAGATATTTATCCTAGAAAACAAGACAGAAATACTAAGAAAATAATTTTTGCAGTGTGATTGTGTTCATGACGTACTCGCTGAATAACTCATTTTGAACTAATCCTTTAGTCACATTACAAAGGTTGGTCTGCACTCTTTAAATCTTTTATTGAAATTAAAGTAGGAGATAAAACAGACAAACGCTTCATCGGGCAGTAAATCATTTAGTGAAAAATCCTCCGTAGTGGATCTGTATGTCCTCTATGCGGTAAACTTGACCTCGTTCTCTCTTCTGACAGCCGCTATCAGTCTCTCAAATGTTTTCATTTTTTTGCGAGTCATGAAAACACTATCGTGGAGTTTTTCTTTTGCTATCGGAGCAAATGGGAAAGCAAGAAATATATTTGTGTTACTCTCCCATTCACTGCTCTTCAAGTTAACCCAACTATGACGACTTCCGCTGCTGAGAAACACACACACGTGAAAGAGGTCCATTGTGTTTCAGATGAACCAGCCTGATAAGGCTTCTTTAATGCTGTAAATAGAAAAGCATGTGAAGTCCGTGTCAATAAAGCACGACTCTAATGGGAAACAGAAGCAGCACTGTCTGGAGCTCGGAGATCAAACGAGCGGCTCCGATGAGAGCGAGGGCCGCCATAAAGTCTCGAGATATGTTTTTTCAAAGTTGAACTTGCATTAATTTTACATGGCTTTCTAAACATGTGGCTCTTTTGTGCGAGACGCGAGTGCAACGGTGATAGATGTCCCTCTAGAAAATGCGTGTTCTGTGTGAACGGCTTGGTTTCAGTTTTGATGTAAACAAGATCTTCTCCGCATAGATGTTCTCTTTTTCCGCTATATTTGTAATAAACAACGCAGCAGCGCCGCGTCTAGTGGCTTCAACTGGATAGACTAACAAACACATTAAAATGCAAGGACACTTACATCATCATCGCATCTCGTGCGCCGCTGATAAGCTGCCTCCTTAACGCACACCTAAAATTCGAATGCAACGTTTTTGCATTCAAATGTGGATTTTTATTTTAAATTCGACGAATATTCGAAATTCTAATTTTTTTTTGACAGCCCTATTCAGGGTTCCTCAAAATGATTAAAAACAGTCAAATGCAAACTCAGAATATTATACAAAGCTGCAATAATTAAATATGTTAAAAAAGACAAATATCATTTATGTATTTAATCCCATTTTTTTTTTTAACCAATGTCTTTGCTGCTGACCTTCGATGATCCAATTCAACCATACTAATAATCAAAAATAACACTGTGTTTCATTTTAGTTATTGCTGAATAGTGTTGAACTTTCTTCTGCTGCGTCATATTCTTCATGCGATTAGTTTGAGCGGCGCCCTCTACTGTACAGACGTGAATTTACATTTCCTTCAGCCTGAGGCGCATAAAAGAAGAACTTCTTTATATTAAAAACTAACAAGCAAGCCCTGCCCAGATTTAAAAAGTAACTCAAAAGTAACACAACACATTACTTTCCACAAAAAGTAACCAAGTAACGTAATTAGTTACTATTTTTAGGGAGTAACGCAATATTGTAATGCATTATTTTTAAAAGTAACTTTCCCCGACACTGATCACACAGTCACCAGCTCCTGCATCCAGCCACAAACAACTAACACACGTCATCGATCCTTTCCTTTTTGCTGCTACAGGAGGGAAATACATGCACAAAATATGTCAAGTAGCATCAGTTTTATTTCTATTGCGCTTTATACAATACAGATTGATTCAAAGCAGCTTCACAGGGAAAAAAAAGTGTTAATATTGCAAAATTCATCAGTTCTGAAACATTCAATTTCAGCACTAAATTTGTGTTGTAGAACAGCACAAGTGTGGAAAATAGAGTCAAGAACAGACATTTATTCAGCATCTGTACATTTTAAAGCATAAACAGCGTGATCACTTTGCATATTTTTCTTTTAAAAGATTTGTTTCCTTCACAACAACACTGAACTGAGCTGGATGATGATCGTCTTTGCTTTACAGCTGAATCACATCTGAAAACACTGTTATTGAACTGAATTGAATCGACACTGAACTGAATAATGACACAACTGTCTGCTGTAGAGCTGCTTTAAATGGCAGAATTGAACTAATTTAAAAATAGATGAACTTTTACTGAACTGTTAATGAAATGAACTGAACCAGCATTGAACTGGATTGATCTGAACAAAAACACTACAGAATCTGAGAGCACAGCATGCATACAGCAGAATCTGAATTCGTCTCCATAAAGGAGTTAATAATTGATTCTGTTATTGTCCTGTTTATTTCTGTGAAGCTGCTTTGACACAGCACTATAGAAATAGGCCTAAATGTGACTCGACTGACCTGCTGCAAATGCATTCAATTAAATTATGATAAACGTTTCTTGTGTATTTGCGTTCCATGCCTTGGTTCATTTGACCGGCTGTTTAGAGAGAGAGAGAGAGAGGGGTTAACCAGTCCTTAACCATAACCAGTTACCATCAGCTGTTATAATCTACTGGAGGAACATTAAATAGTTTAAAGGGGTCATATGATGCTGCTAAAAAGAACATTATTTTGTGTATTTGGTGTAATGAAATGTGTTTATGGGGTTTAAAGTTAAAAAAACACATTATTTTCCACATACTGTACATTATTGTTTCTCCTCTATGCCCCGCCTTTTTGAAACGCGTCGATTTTTACAAAACTAATCGGTCTGAAAAGCGAGGTGTGCTCTGATTGGCCAGCTATCCAATGCGTTGTGATTGGCCGAATACCTCAAGCATGAGACGGAAATGTTACGCCCCTCACATACTGTTGATGCCGTGTCCCGGCCGAAGCGATGACGGGCTGGACTCCGCTTTGTCCATGGTGAAAGCCGATCCGGCGATCCACCGCACTAAGTTGATGTATTTCCTCAGCGACCAGCACGGATTAGCTCCAGGCATGACGAAGCAGATATCGTTCTCTTTTGGAAGACCAAACAAAGTAGTTTCGCTTTCACAACGAAACACACAGCGCCTTCACGACATGGCGGCGGCAACAATATTACAGCGAGAATAAAAGTTACTCCTTCTTTCTTTGCGTTAACATTTGGGCTGCGTTATGCAAATCTTCCCACATAGTGTGGTAGATATGTGGGGGCGTGTTCGAACGAGGTGTTTTAGGTAGGCGTGGCTGACTCTTAACTTTTATAAAGAATATCTCTTTGGATTTGAGACTTTAGTCTTTGCAACTTTACAGATCTTCTTTATGCACCAAGAGCTTGTAACACTCCAAAGAGAAAGGAAAAAATGAAATCGCATCATATGACCCCTTTAAGATCAAATTCTGCGCTAACACTCACGAGCTGATCTATAAGACACGACTGATCATTTCAAATGTACAGTATCATGTTTGCACAGGGATAGTGCCTCTCTTATGAGTGCTTTTATTATTCATCACACCTTATATTCAAAACAAATCACTCATGTCTGTTATTATTATGATTCCAGTAACGTCACATGCTCGAGATCTCCACAGACGTCTCCCTGAGGACGATGAGATGAGTTCATCTGCTGCTCCTCAGACACAAGACACTTATCTGATCTAAACGCCCAAAATAACACGCCAGCATCTGATGCTCATGCACACCGGTGCATTATTAGAGTTATGACACTCTGGATCTGTCTAATATACAGATCACTAATGAGAGCTAAAGGATTTTCACTCTTTTAACTTCCAGTGAACAACTTTTCACATAATTAGATATGAATCACCTACATGTATAATTGAGCACTAATCAGACTCAAACATTTCAGATGATTTTCACAGTTTTCCAGCAGTGACTTCGCATCAGCACATCAGCTTTACTAACAACAGAGTAATATGACAATAGACCTTCTGTTAGAAACAAACACACGTTCTATTGAAAGGTTGCACTGAGGTTCAGCATGAAACAACTTGCACTTCTCTTCAAAGCAGATCTGTCATTCATAACTTGGATCAATAAACACAGCCCATTCATATTTTTGTGGATGACAGATTATAAGAAGGATGAAAAACATAGCAGATGAATCTAAAGCAGCTTTACTGAAACTAGTTGTTTTATAACAAGAACAAGTGACAGTCGAGGAGAAACACACTGAGCATCTGTAAAGAGAAATGGACAGAACCGAAGTCTGGAATTATATCAGTTCACCTTAACTATCACTAACCTTAACCTAACCATAACCAACCCTTACCCAACTCTAACCTAACAACAAACCCTTGCAGTTAAATTACAACAGCTATTAATATTATTATTATTATTATTATTATTATTATAAAAAAAACACAACTTGACCCCAATGAATCAATTAATTACAGACCTATCTCGAATCTCCCTTTTCTGTCAAAGATACTAGAAAAGGTATCATCACAACTATGTTCCTTTTTTTAGAGAAAAACGGTATCTGTGAGGATTTCCAGTCAGGATTTAGACCGTATCATAGTACTGAGACTGCTCTCATTAGAGTTACAAATGACCTGCTCTTGTCATCTGATTGTGGTTGTATCTCTCTATTAGTGCTACTGGATCTTAGCGCCGCGTTCAACACTATCAACCACAGCATTCTTTAGAATAGACTAGAAAATTATGTTGGCATTAGAGGAAGTGCATTGGTATGGTTCAAATCGTACTTATCTGACCGCCATCAGTTCGTAGCAGTGAATGAAGAGGTATCATATCGATCACAAGGGCAGTATGGAGTACCTCAAGGCTCAGTACTAGGGCCGTTACTTTTCACGCTTTACATGTTACCCTTGGGAGATATCATCAGGAAACACGGTGTTAGCTTTCACTGTTATGCTGATGATACTCAGCTCTATATTTCTTCGCGGCCCGGCGAAACATACCAATTAAAAAAACTAACGAAATGCATAGTCGATATAAAAATTGGATGACTATTAATTTCTTACTGCTAAATTCTGAAAAAAAAAAAAAGGTTAATTATAAGACCTAAAACCTCTGAATGTAATAACCTAGAACACTGTCTAAGAGTGCTTTCACACCTGTAGATCGATTGCTTTGTTCCGAAACAGGGATTAAAATTATTACAATGTTGCTTTTTATTCTTGGTGCGGTTCGCTTTCACATGGCAAAGTTTCTAAACGGACCAAATTTGTTAATACAAGTCACGCGCGAGTAAACTGTCCTCTCATTGATCAAAGTTCCACGGTTTATTTTCCGGGATTCCACTGAGCTGTCATCCGTCAGGAGGCAACGACAACAGCTTTTTTTTTTGTAGTTGTCCTTATATTAATTGATCACTTTGAGTAGGAGTCCAGGATTCATCGGGAAAACATTTTTAAAATGCACCTATTAGGAAGAAGAGCAATAAGACGGCATTATAAAATCAAAAAGTGTGCTTTTTTATTTTGAATGGCGAAGATGTGCTCACCCACAGACATTCATTTTGAAGTATTAGCAAAACAAAGCTACTGCTTTTCACGGAACTTACGTAATTACCCATTATACATTGTGATTTAGCCTGGTTCGTTGGTCCGTTGGATCGGATTGCTTTCTCACTACAACCGAACCGCTCCAGAGTTCGTCTTCAATCGAGCTGAGACCACCTCGTTCAGGCGATCTCGGACCGATTGTTTTGGCGTGGATCCGAGCGCGATTGCCGTGTTCACATATGCCCAAACGAACCGAGCTAAACGGGGAAACACACCAGGTTCCGAAACAACGAGCCAGGTGTGAAAGCACCCCTTGTCTACTAGACGGCCACTGGGACAAGACCACAGGAACCAGATGAGTCCTCCGCACAATCTAACTTTGCTGCAGCCTGGAATTAAACTGCTGGTCTCGTCTGGCCAGAGGAGAACGGCACACTATTTCCCTGTTTAATACTGTAAAGCTGCTTTGACACAATCTGCATTGTAAAAATGCTATATAAATAACAGTGACTTGACTTGACTAATATACACACTCGCGCAGGAGCCGCACAAGCCCCAGCGAAATATTACTGATAAATCCATGTTTCAATGAAGATTATACTTATGAGCTGAACAAAGGTGCAACACTCACTCTTCAAAGTTCAAGCTTTATTAATAAAACATGACGTTTCAGTTTACAATCTCACACAGTTGTATTTTTCTTTTTTTCTCTCTCGAATCCTATTATTAGGAAACTACTTCTCAATCAGTACAATTAGTGGAGCTGCACACCTGTTGGTGATTATCAGACTGCACATAACTGTGTGAGATTGTTACTCTTGTTATCTGATGAAGGTCTTGGATGGCCGGAAAGTCATGTTGTTTTATTAATAAAGCTTGAACTTTGAAGAGTGAGTGTTTCACCTTTGTTCAGCTCATATGTTTTTTGATTTTTGGTTGCACCTCCTCTTCTGTTGGTAGAGCACCTCTTTTTACATTTGTTACAAATGAAGATTATACTGACGTGAGAATCATTTCTATCAGCGGTTTATAATTTATAATGTCAGTTAAAAGTTAAACTTTATAAACACACCTGAGACATTAAACATATGAGAGCAAACCTTCCTGATCAACACGCAGTGTTGTCATTTAAAATCAGCAGATCGATCAGTAATCAGCTGACAGAGCCGTATTTGTCTCTGCTGCTCACACACACAGACTCTCACACACACACGCACACACACACTCTCACTCACACTCACATTCTCGCACACTCTCACACACACTCTCTCTCACACACACAAACACACACGTTTGTTTCTGTGAATTGTGGGGACTTTCCATAGACTTCTATTACTTTTATACTGACCAAACGATATTTTCTATCCCCTAAACCGTCCCCACGATGTCAAAAATTTCAGGTTTTACTATCCTTGTGGGGACATTTGGACACACACTCTCACTCACTCACACACACACACACAACACCCTTCCTTCAGCCGTGACCTCACTTCCTGTGACATCACTGCTGGAGTGGGGGGATGGGCAGCAGACACTAAAGCTCGGTCTCATGCAGCGCCTCAATGACACAGAACGATCCCTGCTAACCGTCCGGATCACTCACCTCTGAAGTGCATTAGAGCCACAGGCGGGAACGGCCCGTTGGGATTAGGAGCGTCTAGCACCATCCTGCCTCAGACGAGCTGCATGTCAGCGCACGGCGCAGCTAAAACACAGAGGCACCTACAGCGCCAGAGCAGCCTCCATTTAAACACAAAAGCTGAGCAGAAAATGAAGCTGTGTGCTGGAGGAACCGAGTGCTGGCTGATGTCAGCGGGAGCTGCGAGCCCATTGGTCCACTGCACACAAGAGCCGTGACATCAGCAGAGCGCAGGCAGAAGCCTATTGGTCAGGAGAGGAGAAGGCGGGACTTACGGGCCCCTCCAGCAGTCCTACAGAGCCGTCACGCCTCATTACTCTGTGTGTGTGTGTGTGAGAGAGAGAGAGTGTGAGTGTGTGAGAGAGAGAGAGTGTGTGTGTGAGAGAGAGAGAGAGAGAGAGAGAGAGAGAGAGAGAGAGAGAGAGAGAGAGAGAGAGAGAGAGAGAGAGAGAGAGAGAGAGAGAGAGAGAGAGAGAGAGAGAGAGAGAGAGAGAGAGAGAGAGAGAGAGAGAGAGAGAGAGAGAGAGAGAGAGAGAGAGAGAGAGAGAGAGAGAGAGAGAGAGAGAGAGAGAGAGAGAGAGAGAGAGAGAGAGAGAGAGAGAGAGAGAGAGAGAGAGTGTGTGTGTGTGTGTGTGTGTGTTCTTGTTTATGCTACATTGTGGGGACACCACGAGGGGGGAAAAAATGATTAAAAATAGTAAATGATGTTTATCTGAAAGTGTAAGAAGAAGGTTTTCTGTAAGGGGTAGGTTTAGGGTTAGGGTTGGGTTAGGGGATAGAAAATATTGTTTGGTCAGTAAAAAATTAATAGACGTCTATGGAAAGTCCCTACAATTCACAAAAACAAACGTGTGTGTGTGTGTGTTTACCTCCTGCTACCGCAGCAGTAGATGCTAAATGTGTAGGTGTGTAGATCCTGAACATGGCAACACTGACCTGTTCTCCATACACAGAGCATCAATATCCAGAATGCGATTCTCGTGGCTTCCCAAGATGTGGTTAATTTCCAGGTTTAGTCTGTGAGCTTTCTCCTGATAGACATTACGCTCTGCTCTCACGTCCTGTAATTCATCCGTGGCAGCCTTTAAGCTTTGCTCCAGTGCTTCATTCTGCAACACCATAGGGTTATGACACAGGACAGATATTGCTTTTTTACTCAACTATTGTATCAGTGTTTTGTTTTTCTATGACACCAGTGTCTACAAAAACTGTGAGGTGTGTGTGTGAGTGAGTGTGAGTGAGTGTGTGTGTGAGTGTGTGTGTGTGAGTGTGTGCGTGTGAGTGAGTGAGTGAGTGTGTGTGAGTGAGTGTGTGAGAGTGTGCGAGTGCGTGTGAGTGTGTGTGCGTGTGAGTGTGTGCGAGTGAGTGTGTGTGCGAGCGAGTGAGTGAGTGAGTGTGTGTGTGTGTGCGAGCGCGTGTGCGAGAGTGTGAGTGAGTGAGTGTGTGTGTGTGTGTGTGAGTGTGTGAGTGAGTGAGTGTG